GCAAAGCTACGCAGAGAAACCCTGTCTCGAAAAACCAAAAAAAAAAAAAAGAGAGAGAGTAGAGAATCACAGAAATATCCTTCAACAACAACAAAAACCAAAGCTATACTGTTACTTGAACTGGAGAGTGAACTTAGGTTCACTCAGCCAGGGTTAAGTGGACATACTTTTCTAATTCAAAGGAGTCAGGCCCATAGCTCCAACAGCAGGCTCACAAGGCTCTAACAGACTGGAACAACACAGCCACACACTGGCAAGTCAACACTTTCTCTTCGCCTTTGTTTCTTCTACTTAATCAGGACATTTTGATAATAAACCTAAGCAAACAATTAACTCTCTGGCAGGAGAACACTATATAGATTTTTTATTATGTTAATAATTTTCATATTCCAATCATAATTCTCAGCTGATGCTAACATGTTCCCTCTGACTTTAGTTTTTAGTTTAAAATAACATTTTTTATCATCTGTCTTTAACATATCTGGCATTCTAGCAAGATCTTTTTCCATAACTTTGAAAATGCATGAATAATAAATAGCACAACATTTTCATTTTTAGCATCACCAAAACCTTACGACACAAAGCTATGCAGAAATTTTTCAAAATTCACAACAAAATGTCCATGTTACTTTCAATTTCTAAAGAAATGCAATTCAAACCTTATGTACTTTTCAGCTACTCCCCAATAAAACTTGAACACTGACCATAAAAGATCATAAAAATGCATTTCCCTTTTTAAAATTATAAAAGACAAATATAATTATAATGACAAATTTTTCACGCCCATCCCCACCCCTTAGAGCTGAGGACAGACCCTAGGGCCTTAAGCACTCTACCACTGAACTAAATCCCAAGCCCCACCCCCACGCTTTTTTTGTTTTGTTTTGTTTTGTTTTGTTTTTCAAGACAGGGTTTCTCTATATATCAGCTCTGGCTGCCCTTGAATTCTCTTTGAAGACCACTTGGCCTTGAACTCACAGAGATCTGCAGTCTCTGCCTCCTTGAGTGCCACCATACCCAGCTTCTTTAACAACAAATTTTTTAAAAATTTAGGATACAAAATTTTGAAAACTCAAGACTATTTCTAAAATATTGAAAATAGGTAATGATTAATATTCTAATAGTGCAGCCATCAGCAATGTGTTCCTCTTTGGCTCAGTGGGTAACGTCACTCACTGGCAAGCCTGACAACCTGAGTTCCATCCCAAGAACCCATGAAGGAAAGTACCAATTCCTGAGAAGTGTCCTCTGACCATGACATGTGCACCATGGCACGTACACACACACACACACACACACACACACACACACACACACACACCAAGTGTAATTTTAAAAAGAATCTAGTCACTAGATATATTTTGACCTTAAAAAGTATGTATCCTCACTAACACAAATAGAAATGTATTTAAAAGTACCCACAAATCATAGAAATTTAATTTTAAATTAATGTATTTTGTTTTTATACATTCTTTTGTTTGTTTTTACATCTTAAAATAGTTTAGCTTTATAGCCTATGAGGGCACATACCCTTTCCTTTACCATATATATACTTACCAGCAGTATTAGCAATCACCATGTACAATATTTAAGAAAGATACCCATTTCAAAAATAGAAATAGCCCAGTGAGATCAAATATTAAGAGCAAATAGTCTGTACACATAAAAATAACAGGACAAGCGAGGACTGAGATTACCCATTCCCAAAACTAAAACAAAATTACTCATATTTATGCTCTACCACCATGCAAGCAATGGAATATTTACAAATGTTTATGGTATAACCACCTTACATCAATGTGACTAATAATATGAACAAATGGATAAAATTAAGGAATATTTGAGTGAATGAATATTTAAGACAAGATGACATTTAATACCATGAGATGGCCATAATTTGAAATACAAAGAGATGATTTGAATACAAATAAACTAACTGAAATCAAACCTAGGCTTTCTATCTATAGAACAAAGAACCTCAACCCAAAGCACACACAGCTACTGAAATAGTCAAATCCAGTTATCCAGACTTAAAAATACATTATTTTTACTATGTAACCCCCACAGCACACGCGCGTGCACACACACACACACAATATTTTCTTAGTGTTTGGCATTGGGGGAATCAATGAGCCAGAACAAAATACACATTTTTAAAAGACTAATTTACTCATATTCCACTTAAGAGCAACAAACAACCACTTAAAAACTTAGCCTTTTAAAACAGCATCCTTATATAAAACAGTGGGGGGGGGACCCCTTCCATACATATGAAGCAGTTTCAGCCAATACAACTGGCCAATCAAAATTAGTGAATGCACTGCATCTCTCTGCAGTGGAGAGAAACGACAAGGTAGGCTGTCACTCTGCAAAAGCTGCTCAGAGCAGGCTTTCCTCTGAAAAAGCAGAGCCGTTCCTTCCTTTTCAGAAAGACTGGATCTAAAAGCTGCCTCTGGAGACAAGAAGCCTTCAGTATGCTAAATTACTTTCATTACGTATTTTCAAATGCTTATTGACTCCACAGTAGGAAGAGTGAGAGACTGCAGCCGCGAAGCAGCACTACACGGTCCATACGTTAGCAGGACTGCTCAAACAATGGCACAGTACAGACACATTTTCATTAAGGTCATTTTGAAGAGATTTTTATGAGCCTCTTCCCTGAGCCCTCTACTAACAAATGAACAAAATGAAACAATCAAAATTGGAAATGCTTCAGCTACATCAAGAACTGGTCAAATCTTTAACAGAGGTAAGATGTGTTCCTTATTATAGTAGAGAGCTGCTTTTGAAACAGCAGAGTGGGGTAAAATTACTTTGGAATTTTTAGTCTAATATTTTAAGTTTGCTTGTTTTTCTCTATTTATTGGTAAATATGGAATTTTTAAATTTACTTCTTTTAAGATGTGATCTATTTCAAATGCAATCTTTAGATTGCACTGTTAAATCAAAAACTACTCTGATCTCTATAATTTATTCCAAAGACATCAGCTCTTAAGTCATTTCTGGTATACCAAATATTTTTAATGTCACTAGTGTAACCATTTGTCAAGTGCTAAAAAAACGTTTATATTTCTTATAAGAAGCCAGTTTACTATTTAGCTGTTTTATGTTAAGATTATGACCAGGCATGTTCACTGAAAATTATTAATTTGCACTTAAGACTTTTTTTACTACCGTTTACATTTCACCCACATGAGCATATCATCAAAAAGAAATTGATAGTGTCTTATCACAGAATCTGTTTTAGTGAGTTAAAGTTCAAGCCATGTGTTAATAATTAAGCAAGGTACAATATTTCCCAGCATGCAGGCAATGTTAAATTTATTATCAGGGGGTAATGGAAGTATGTTTAGTAAATACTAACTGTTCATAATCTCTAAATATTCAGGTTAGCTTGTAAAAGAGAAAAGAAATTAGTTTAAAATTTCAGTCTTTCTCATGGTTATATTTCAATGCTAACTCTGCTGCTAAATAGGGTAATATATGCCATTTTATGAAAAAGGGATTAACATGAAGAAACTTCATTTTATGACTATAGCTATGCCTATAGCAATACACTTGGCTTATTTTTAGAACAAATGCTACATGGTTTTAATTCTTTAACTAAAATAATAAGTAATTAGTTCAAAATTATTAGGAATCCTATTCTTTAATCATTTTCACCTTTTTCACAAGGGCCCACAACTAACTCAATATAGACAACTGACGATATGAAGAACGCAACTGCCTAAGAAGCTCCCTAGCTCTCTGAATCACAAACTGCTAGATATCCTTGTAATGCATGACTTTAAGAAACTAAGGAGTTAAAGCCTTGGATTAGCTCTGCTGGAACGTAACAAGCTGACAGCATCCCAAGAAGATGCTACATAGAATAAGCACAAAAAGAAAAAATAGAGCTGTAAAAAGCCTGCAGATCATCGGGTGAGCATTTTTAAAGAAAGATCTAACACTTTAACACGGCAGAGTTATGGACACGATTGATTCTATAAGAAACAGTGAAGCAAAAACTTGGAAAATGGCATGATAGACCAGCAAGCAAAATGAAGCATTAGCAGACATTTTCTGTACTATTCAGATATTCATATCAATTGATATGACTAATAAGTTTTCCATCTGAGCTTTATGACCAATTATGTATCTTCTTCTAATGAGAACAAACCAAATTAAATAGCAGATGGTTTTTATCAAAAGAGCATGCACTGGATTTATAATATAAAGCAAATTATGTGATCAAGAAATCATTTCAAAATAATGAGAACTGCTGCAGAAACAGACTGCAAACAAATGGATATCTAAATGCATTTTAGAAGCTAGAGACATTATGTTTCTTTTTTCTGTTTTCACATATTCTGGAAAACAAGGAGACACAATCTTACATTCATTCAAAAAGGAAGTACAATTTCTATCATTTGATGAAGTTTCATTTACCCATGTCTTTCTGAGGGGGAAAAAAACCACGAAAATTATGTGCTGTTCTTCAGAAACCCATCAGCCAACTAAATTCCACAATTTGTACAGCTAAAGTACTCAAATAGCAAAAGAATGAGTTCCTACAAGACATGAAATAAAACACAACTACTTCACTGTTGTCAGGAAAAAAATTCGTGTCAAAACTGTCAATGACATCATGTATCAGTTTGTGGAAAACTACCATGGTGAGCCAAAAGGCCCGTAAGAGGCCACAGCAAGCAGGTAGGTCAGAGGACGCATGCACCCCTGGGGAGAAAACAAATGGGGTTTCTTTCTTTGCTGCCTTACCTGACGTGTCTGCTTTACTAATCATAAATGTGATGTGCCAAAACAAAAACCTGAAGTCCAGTCTGTCAGTTCAGAAAATTTGGCACTCTTAAACTTTGCCATTTTTATAGGATTTCAGTAAGCTAAGCCATTTTATATGAGTAAATATGTATCTAGTAATACCCATCCTGACTCAAATGATGTTGTCACGTTTCCAAAGTAGTAGCCTAAAATAACATGCATAAAGTTGTCAAAGGTAACATGAATTGAAATGTCATTATGAATTTTGAAAGTTATTACTTTTTATACTTCAGGTTGGAATATTTTGAAGTTCGAATGCTATACCTAAAATGTGAAATATACTTGGATGTATAAATTCATCTTTTAAGTTGCTCACTGTAGACATTCTAGGCCAGAAAAACCAGATTATAATTTTTTATAAATGACTCTAAACTCTTAAAATATTTATTCACATGAATTAGCAAAAATGTTCATTTCAGACTTTTTCTTCAAAATTATTCACTGGCTGATTGTGAACAAAACATCTCACAGGTAAAGTGAAAATTAAAAGTTTCCTCAAAAATGGATGTCAGAATATTCTTTTGAATTTCATTTTTACCTCATAAATTAAACAAAGTAACTGGATACATTAATAAAATCACTTCAAAAGCATCTACTTCTTAATACATATCAAATTTCAATTTCCTCTTTCTATAGCACACAAGAGGGTGTGGTTGCTAAATACATCAGTCATAGGAATACTTTTTATTATGCTTGTGGTTTTTTACTTTAGCATACTGTCTTTTTTTTCCCCAAATTTTTGTAAGTCTATTGTAAAAATTCAGTGGGCATATTTACATGATATACAAACTTCCCATCATTTGTCTCTTCCTTGGGAAAGAACCTCATTGTCCACACTGTTGACTTCTCAGAAACTCAACTAGAGTTGGTAAGGCAGTGGAGTGATAGAGATTAATCAGCACTGTGTGCTGGTATCCTTTCAAATGAGCACTTGTCCCCTTCACTGGAAATCTCACAGGAATAATTACAACTACACTAATCATGCTAGAGCATATTAAAATAGCATTTACGTTCCATCTATTCACAATACCATTTAAATGAAATCTTAAACCATTAGACCAAATTAGTTTTGCACACTAAGTAGTCTTCTTTTTCAGAAGCATATGTTCTCGAAAAATAAACACCTCAGTTATTTCCAATGAAGTAAACCCTTGTAGTATGGATAGTAATTCTGCACTACAGAGGAACAATTCTCATAGGGTTATTTCTTCAAAAAGAGAAAACAATTTCTCTTAACACCAAAAGCAATGCAACCTTGATGTTTCCCAATTCTATATTTTGCATCAATAGTTTACAAAATAAAAAATTAAACTAAGTACATGATAAAAAGATATTTTGTTGTTTACAAAAAATACCATGTCTTATATGTCACTTAAATTGCCAAATATCAAATATTCTATTTCATTTTCTAGGGGAAACACCAACTGCTCCAAAAGAATGTGTTTTTCTCCTGCTGTGGAAATCAACATGCAGTCTGATTCAAACATTACAGTGCGAGATGACATGGATGACATCGACACCAACATGTACCAACCACTATCATACCCATTAAGCTTTCAAGTATCTCTCACTGGATTTCTCATGTTAGAAATTGTGTTGGGACTTGGCAGCAACCTTACTGTATTGGTACTTTACTGTATGAAATCCAACTTAATCAACTCTGTCAGTAACATTATTACAATGAATCTCCATGTACTTGATGTAATAATTTGTGTGGGATGCATTCCTCTAACTATAGTGATCCTTCTGCTCTCACTGGAGAGTAACACTGCACTCATCTGCTGTTTCCATGAAGCTTGTGTTTCCTTTGCAAGTGTTTCGACAGCAATCAATGTTTTTGCTATCACTCTGGACAGATATGACATCTCTGTAAAACCTGCAAACAGAATTCTGACAATGGGCAGAGCCGTAATGCTAATGACATCCATTTGGATTTTTTCTTTCTTCTCATTCCTGATTCCCTTCATTGAAGTAAATTTCTTTAGTCTTCAAAGTGGAAATCCATGGGAAAACAAGACATTGTTGTGTGTCAGTACAAGTGAGTACTACACTGAGCTGGGGATGTATTACCATCTTCTAGTTCAGATCCCCATTTTCTTCTTCACGGTTATAGTGATGTTGATCACATACACCAAGATACTTCAGGCTCTTAACATCCGGATAGGCACCAGATTCTCAACAGGGCAGAAGAAGAAAGCTCGGAAGAAAAAGACAATCTCTCTAACCACACATGAGACCACAGACATGTCACACAGCAGTGGTGGGAGAAACGTCGTCTTTGGTGTGAGAACTTCAGTTTCTGTAATAATAGCCCTCCGGCGTGCTGTGAAACGCCACCGGGAACGACGAGAAAGGCAGAAAAGAGTCTTCAGAATGTCGTTATTGATTATTTCTACATTTCTTCTCTGTTGGACACCAATTTCTGTTTTAAATACCACCATTTTGTGTTTAGGCCCAAGTGACCTTTTAGTAAAATTAAGATTGTGTTTTCTAGTCATGGCTTATGGAACGACTATATTCCACCCTCTCTTGTATGCATTCACCAGACAAAAATTTCAAAAGGTCTTAAAAAGCAAAATGAAAAAACGAGTTGTTTCCATAGTTGAAGCTGATCCCATGCCTAATAATGCTGTAATACACAACTCATGGATAGATCCTAAAAGAAACAAAAAGGTTACCTATGAAGACAGTGAAATAAGAGAGAAATGTTTAGTACCTCAGGTTGTTACAGACTAGGGAGAAGTCTAAGTTTCACCAAATCTACATTCAGAAGAGTTTTAAATTTAAATTGTAAAAACTGATTACTGCCAAATGTAAGAGAAAAACATTATCAGTACTGGTTATGTTGTAAATTTTTAATGTGAATGTCAATTAGATTAGGTCATATATACTCAATTTCCTCATTATTAATGTATTTGTTGCATGGCAGTTTGTTAAAAGTAATCCATGTGTATATTCTGTCAATATTATGTCCATCAGAAGACACTCATGTAAGTCATATTTTCTAAAGAATAAATACATAGCCTTAAAACAGTGTATAACTTTAAAATGTAACGGACATAGGTATCTACGTTTTTTAAGACAATGTACGAAGTCTATTATTTCTAAACCACGAACTAGATATATTTATACGAGAAGTTGCATAATATTTAACACAAAAATTATAGTCTCAAAACAATCAAAGCAAGATTTTCTGTACCACTATGCTATATTTCTGGTATGATGAACTTGTTATAATGTTTTAACAACAAAATAATGAACTATATATAAACCTTATTCTTTGTTATATATAGCCCTTATGTGGGAAACCACAGACTATATTAGCATTTTAAAACCATGAACCAAGAATAAATAAACCCTGTATATGGACACAAAATTAGGGATACTTCAAATTCAAGCTTATTATATAAAAAGATTGAACTCTGTTACAAGGGTAATATGCCTGAAATACAAATGAACCAACAATAAAGGGAGGGAAGAAAGCTACCTAACACCAGCCCTGTCCCTTCGTCCTCATTTTGCCTGAATCTATGCCAAATGTTCTAAGTTCAAAGAAAATACTAGTTTTAAAAAAACTGCAATAAAATAATTTTTCATTTTTAATTTAATAGCAATTCTACCATTTAATAAGAGAAGTTAACCACATAAATCAGAAGGCTGGGCAGAAGAAAGGGGATCTCTTCTGTCCTTGTAGAAAAGGCTAACAAAGGCAGCTGTTTCTACTTTTAAATCCATTGCAACTTACATGTGCTAGAATTTACATAACGTTCCTACTCAGCCTTCAAAATACAGCAGCTCTGTTTCCACTCTCCAGGTGATTAAAGCAACAGTAAATTGTGTCACATTTCTATTCCACCACCATGTAACTTAAGCATTTTTCTCTCAAATCCTCAATTCATGTTAGAAAATTATAATTACAGATTGTAAGGATTATGAATACTTTCATAGCAAACAAGAATTTCTCACTTGCTATAATAATCTGGCAATATGTAGCAATAACAAAAACTTGGCAACAACTTATTTAAAATAGGTAAGTACCTGCTATCTATATTACAACTGGTTAGCTTAAGAATAATTATTCCCTATTTTAAATACTATATTCAATAAATGAAGTAACATTTTAAAATTTAAAACCTCATGTTAAACAACTCAGTATCTATCACTTTTAGACAAATAAATGAGATTCATTTAATCAACTTTACTGACTAGCTTAATCCCTGGGGAAACGAGCATGATACAGGAGCTTGAAGTCACTAAGGTTTCTGGCAAACTAAACTGATTTATTTCTGATAATAATGCTAGTGTATCAAAAGTTAGCAAAGGCCTGCTTTCCTCCTGCTTTATGAAATTAAAGAAATGCTGCAGTTTAACAAAATGTAGCATAATCAAGTAAAATTAATTTTTTGAAACCCTAAAATTAAGACTTAATGGTGTTAAAAAAATTCACTCAATAAATGCATTTGGCCTACAATATCTCCTAACACCTTAACTAAAACTTTTAATGCATTTTGTACTTGGACATCTAAGCATAAGTTAAAATATTAGCACTCAGATTTATAATCTTAATTTTAAAAACTAGACTACTTTTATAGAGTTCATGTTAAGAAATACCTCCACCGTGTTTTCACTACTTTTATCATGAGGTTTAATAAGCACTCCAATGAATTTAGTATAAAAGTAAGTTTCTACCATGTTGGCCTAATAGTTTTTATGCATTCTGATCTTCTGTACCAGGAAAAAAATAAATAGTAAATATTATAACTTTGCCCTGTAAGCTGCTGTTTGTGCATTGGACATCAGAGTAAACAATTAAGCATTTTGCCCTACAATAATGAATTTTTTAAGGATACAAAAGTCCATCTACTGATTTACAACAAACAAAATCTATACTTCCCAGCCGGGCGGTGGTGGCGCACGCCTTTAATCCCAGCACTCGGGAGGCAGAGCCAGGCAGATCTCTGTGAGTTTGAGGCCAGCCTGGTCTCCAAA